GCCGTTGGAAAACAAGAGCGAGTGCATTCTTGAGGTAGATTTGTTTAAGAGTTCAAAGCCTTTCTAAGTTCACTTTCATTTCCCTTTCTAATTTTGCCCCTCCCACTCTTCATGCCAGGCGCAATACTATCTCTTTGCTTGGTTAGAGTTAGGCAGTGGCACGAGTTTAAGAAAGTCCATCATAGGTCTGAGTAATTTTGAAGGCTGTCACTTCACAATTATGTCGAATCATGAAAAGTCGTTCGCTGTTTCACTGACATCTTTTGGATTGGATTTTGGATTTTTGGCCTGTTGGAGGAAGACGTTTGGTGGGTGTTTATACTCCTGTGTTTTTGAAGCCTATTTTGCTTTTGGGATTTCAGTGTTCGAAACCTTTTGTGGTAATTTTGGCTGTTGAATTTCATAGATAAAGCAGAACTAGTATCTGAATTTCATCTGAGCGATGAAACTTTCACTGTCAGCAGGTTCTCGCTATGTTTCAGGCTAAGGTAAGACAAGCGGTTTCCGTAACCAAGTAGACCATTGTGTGTGCACGGCGTATTTCGAAGGTGACAACTGTGATAAGATCATCGGCTGCATGAATGGTGGAGAATCTGCAAGACCACAGGTGATTAGCTCTGCTGCTTTATCTGCACCTCTTTCAGTGTGGCACATATGAAACATCGAAAATTCAATCAACTGATTCAAAAAAAAGAATTGTATTTGTCATATGATAAAATGGCAGCGAGATCGCTGATTCCATAGCTTCCATAACGGTTCGTTTTTGTTGGGATTGGTAGTTTGAAAACGGGAGCATATGACGGATCAATTAATTTGTTGTTTGTTGGTTTTTTTTGAAAATCAGGGGCCAGGTGCAGCTAGCCCCAACTTGAGGATATGTCCCCTAGACTCTGTATTTCTGGACGCTGTCCCTATTCTTGACCATGGGCCGTATGCTGAATGTTGGGTAGGGGACGGGGATGGGTAAACGTTGGGGAGGTTCGTCGCAGGACCCACTGGGCAACGGTCGCACCTTTGATTTTGCAGCTTTGTTTCCATCCTTTTACTGTTTCTGATTGTATATTCGCTCGTAAATACCTTTCTTCATCCAAAAACAGCGATGAAAGAATGGAAACAAAGCTGCAAAATCAAAGGTGCGTTGCCCAGTGGGTCCTGCGACGAAATCTCCCCAACGTTTTCCAGCCCCAGCCCCTACCCAACATTCAGCATACGGCTCCATGAGAGCTGCGTCTCGACCAGACCAGGGACGCAGAGTTTAGGGGACATATCCTCAAGGTGGGGCTTGCTGCACCTGGCCCAAGTTAATAGGATGGGGTCGTAGTCGTACGGCTATGTTTACATTGGGTGGTGAAAAAGGTAAAATATTTCCCACCGACTGAGTCTATTTCTTAAAGCTTTCCGAAACCCTTCCTGATTTTGCGAGCACTTTTATATCCTTTCAGTGTAACCAGTAGGTATGTGGTACCTCATCTCTGTATTTATCCTTCATTCGCTAATATCAAGTTCAGTTCGGGAAAAAGGAACAAAAATTGGGAAGCGTTTTCAATCACACTGGAAAAGCAGCTTGAGCCGATGCTCAGATGGCATACTTCTTTATATTACTATCAATGTACCGAAATTTGAAGTTTACAAAGTTGCTTAAAGATGCTCAAAGTAATATGTATCACTAAATTCAATCCGGTGGTATTTTATAGAAGATCTCCTTTCAAAACCTTAAAAGTCATTTTCCTTGGAACTTTATACAACCCAACCCTCACAGTTGTGACTCCTCAAGTGACGAACGTCACTCTCTGCGGGTTAGGGGGTTGACCTTCGAAGCCTATGAGCGAAAAACATTTCAAAGGATGGAACAGTAACATTAGTAATAAAAAGAGTAAAAGTATTAGTAAATGAATTGAAATGGTGTTTCATTTCGGCTCTTTCAGTCCCTTGCCATATGTAACTCAATGCCTGGACGACGTATGCCAGTCAATTACCGACGTTGTGGGAGCATTATGCGAGTACGAGTTGCGACTGGCAGAGCAAACCTTCTCCGAGTACTGTCAGTGAGAATATTGTTGAACCCCTCTCCATATTCTCAGCCGCGTTCTTTGTATTTTTAGATAGCCGAAAATAAGTCAAAAACTGGCTCGCTTAGCCTTGCGATTGTTAGCAGATTCACTAGTATTGGTGTCTTGTAGGTTAGTATTCATGTTGTATTAACATTTTCAGTACTTTCATTCCTTTTCCACTTCAGATGCCCTTCTGCACTCATCAGTCATTTTAAAATTGACACCAGACCCTTATCCTTCCATCAATAATGGGAATCTTGCCCGAAAGTGATAGTTACTATAGGGGTTATTCGGGGTCCTGATTTGTTGTTAGCGCTATTCGGCGCCTGCTTCCTGCTCGTCTGCGCCCTCGCACTAATTAGATCGCAATAGGACTAAGCCTTTGAGTAGTGTAGGGCTCCAAAGTGGGTAGGCCATTCCCCTGTGGTCTGACACACTCCAACTTTTGCCACACGGTGCGTGGTTTACCCACTCCGGAGTTTCACTCCCCTCCCCTAAGCTTAGTCGTAGGCGCTGTAGGTGAGAAAGCTTAGAAAAGCAGAAAGTATGCGTTAAACAGCACGAATGTGAAAAATGAGTGTTGACCCCGAACGGACTACTTGAACTTGTTCCAAGAACTACGTGAGAGGATGACTACGTTGTTCCGGTTACAACAAAAGAAAATAATCAATAATCAGAAAAAATGAGAGCAGCAGTTAGGCGTTAATCGTTTAAATTCAGCAACTAGGCGTTAATCGTTTAAATTCAGCAACGTTTGCAGTACTTGCGTACGTGTTCGATCGCCCTTGAATGTGCGGCGCTGTTCGATTTGATGCTTCTTAAGGGAGAGATGATTACTACGTTGCTTTTGGTTACAGCAAAAAAAAAGGATGGACGACACTTGCTGCCGTTGGCATTGCGTTTCTACATATCTATGATAGTGTTATTTTTGCTCGTAATTGTGATAAAGTATTACAAGAGCGATCTATAGGTTTAAAGCGTTCGGTTGCACCAGATTCCTATCCTCTATTTGAATATGCACTTTCTAATATCACCTTCCATTAGCCTAACGCTAATGGAAGGTGTTCCGGTATTGTAAAGCGCGCAATTGTGCACGCTTTACGTACTCGTGACGGAGAATGTCGGTTCAGATCATGGATATGCAAAAAAGGATTCCCGTCATTCCACCAGCCGTCTCCTCTTTTATTGTGAAGGAGGTGTTGAAAAATGAGGCTGTTCTCATAAGAGGATGCAAGAATAGGATGATGGCGTCGAACGTCATGAGGAAGGAATTGTGGCAAAGGATCGCGTTGGAAATCTGGAGGAATTTCAACATACATCTGACGCCAATCCAGCTCCAAAACCATTTTAATAATCGCAAGAAGAAAGTGATGGCCGCTGACTCCTTACAGAAGAAGTGAGCGGTCTTTGTCGGAGTATAGTGCACTAATTCCATTTAACCTACTACCTCAGGTACCAGTGCAAGACCGGACTAGGAAGACTCGAGGCTGTAGAGCGTTCTATTGATGAGACACGGAGCGCTTTCGGTGACGACGACGCTGAATTACATCGCGTTATTTCGCTGGTACTGCAGCGTACAATAGCGATACTATTGTCGAGACTCGTATAACTTCGTATAATGTATTTCAGAGAGGTGGATTTAGTTTGAGAGGACCGATGAGACGTGAGTGCTAAGCCGTGCTGACAGGAATGTTGGGCAAAATGGCGTTAAAGTTGAGGTGCGTGGTGAATCTGCGGCACTATACGACGAGGCTGCTATTATTCGTATTAATTGTTTAGCTTGTCATATATCGGTGAAGCATGATATGAGTGTTGGGGTCGTGGAGCAGGGTGATGTACTGATCTAACTGACGAGCAGGGACATTTACTGTTAAGTGAGCGAGAGTCAGAGACTGCAAAAAGAATGTTGTAAAAGATGAGTCTATGGTCCTTCTTGCTATGTGAGCGAACTTGTAATACCGTTTAATCAGATAGGAATAAGCGAATGGTTGTATATAATCCACATCGGGTTTGGAGTTAATGGAGCCAAGCAAAAAATTGCGGTCAGGAGGTCATATGAAACGTTGCCTTCAAGGTATTGCATGCATACCCTGTGTTTCTATGCCCTGTACCGAAAGAGGCTGGTTTAGGAGTTCGAACTGCGAACTGCCTGGTCTGCATGCAAAGTCAAATTTCAAACATGAGTTTTTGCGATACAAGTCGGAGGCGCTAAGCTGTGTACCGAGGCGAATGAAAGCCGCACGTTACTTTGGTTGTTTGTTAAGTGTGGTCATATTCGTCGTTGAGTGATCTGTTACAGATTCCTGATACCCTTACAGATGGCTACAAGTGTGATCAATCATGGCTTCAGTGTGACATATTTGTTTGTTTTCGTTTGTTAACATTGTTTGCCAATGCGACCTTGCTGAAATTTCAGGAGGGGAGTAAACGTGTGAGGGTGCTATAGCGTATAATGTCCGCGAAATTCATTTGGCAAAGCTGGCATGTTCGCCTGCTATCAGATAGGATAGATGTGAGTTACCTTCGCCCGTCATTTTTGATGTAATCAGTGCCTTATATTGGTGATTCTTCTAGTGCTTTACATCATCGATGTTTGCGTGATTAAGCCACGACGTCATACTTTTTCTTTCATTGTATCAGCTTAATACCTGAGGTAAGTATTTTTAAGCTCTGCGTTGCATGGTGGGAAGTCAATATAGTGCATTATGTTAACCGGGAACTGTCGCCAATAGCAATTTTCATCACTGCTCGCCAGGGACTCTTCACGACAGGGCCATACATTTCGACAGGTAATCGTCAATCCAAAATGGTATTATGATTTGTTTTTTCAAAGAGTTCATCTCTATCTATCTCTTTATCTTTCATCCTTCATATGACCAGCAGGATTTCCTTTGAAATTCATGGTTTTAATGTCCAAAGCACTTCATTTAGCACTTAAATTATGAGCTGCATAGGATATGCATAGGAGGCATATGCATCTCGACCACGTGCGTGCACGTAAAGAGAGCTTGTTAACATCTTGTGAGATTGCGTGTAATTTTCGGCTCACACTACCGATTACATTATGAATGAACACTTAAGTCGTAATCATTCCGTTTTTACAAGAATGTAATTGCAGTAGGTCGGCAAATCTTTATCGTATCCCTAGGCGCCCGACAAAATGTGTTGTGCAAATGAAGTGCACACTACCCTGAACTTTACGCATTGGATTCTTCCTTTTTCCTTTTATTACTACTCGTTCTAATTCGCAGCGCCTTCAGTGATCGTTTTTCTAATTCTCTTTTCAGGAGCAATTGCAGCGGTGGGAATGCAGTGAGATGATCAGCGAGACCGGAAAATAAGGTAAGGTAAGGTAATAAGGTCGTTGGGGACATATACCCGGCCTGGTATATGTCCCCGAAGATCGTATGCAAGTAGCCCCGACACATCGGGGATATGTCCCCGACGACCTTCGGGGCTTGTTGCATACGACTTCGGGGATATGTCCCCGACGACATTCGGGGCTTGTTGCATACGACTTCGGGGATATATCCCGGCTCTGTACTAAAACATCGGGGACAAATACCCCTCCTCCCGACTAGGGGTATTTGTCCCCGAAGGCTTCGTCATGTACTTAGTGCTTGCAGTTTACGCAGGTAGACATAATTTCAATTACGTAAACGCTTAGTTTCAAGACTAAGCATTCCAGTTACTAAGCTTAGTTATATTATATATATAGTTTATATTATACAGTTAGTTTTTTTATTGCCTCATTCTTTCTCATTCAGAGTTCTACCACATCGTCACAAGGAGTTACTGTGTTGCATGTTGCAGCTGCACGCACGCAAAGGTTACACGCAATTTCTTAGCTGCTCATCAATGCTGGTGGACATATACGAGCACCAGAAAACCGGATAGCACCACCACATAGCACCAGGTATATATTACTGCCATTAGACATCATTCCTACCTCCAACATGAAATAGTTTAGGAGAATCTCATCGATCTCGAATAAGGACCTGTCACGCCATGGCGCCTCCCTCCCAATGCTTGGATTCCTCAGGAGCTTTGGGTCTTGTCTCGCTTGACTATAGTGTTTTCTACTACTATTATCGTTCATTGGATGTTTTGTCGATTATTATTGACGTTTTGCAGATCGATTAATAAATATTAGTGTGTTCATGTATTGAGTGCATCGTTTGAACATATGACACACTGAAACAACTAGACATTAGGAGTAGAACAAGAACACCAACAATTCACTTACTATAAAGGAGAACGCCCACGGGATTATACCAGCCCTTGCGGCATAGATGGGGGCACTTAGATGCTGTGAAGTGTTCGTTGAACTGCCACATCCGCCACATTTTGTACAGTTTGTAACATTGAAAGAGTTTGTATTTTAGAGTAAGCTAATCAATTTCTAATCATTGCTCAACTTTATTATCACATTAACAACGAACAAAAAGTCATGTTATTTTCGCCGATAAATGCTTTCTTTTATGCTATATTCACTGCTCTCATAAGGAAATAAGAGCAATATAAAAGTACATGATGAGCAAGAAAGCAAGCTTCTCATAGAAAAAACGACACCAAGGAAATCACTAGCACACAAATACCTCGCATAAAATACAACACTAAAGAGATCGCTAGCAAACTTTGGACTTTCGCCTTCCATAGCTCCACCGGCCCGACGGGTTCTTCCAGTCTCTGCTTCGACTGCTCTTCCAATTTTCCCAGAGCAGCCTCTGCTTCTGCTGGAGCTGTGACCATTCTTAAAACCGCATAAGTGACTCCTCCATCACGACATTCCGAACTGAAAAGAGATGCACCGATCTGAGTGATTTCATCAACAACAAGTAAGAACAATTAGAGTCGTAATGGACAAATGAAAAAGGTACATAGTCCTAGATTACCAGCAAATACAGAACGTATTTCTTACGATACTGCATTGCTATGAGAGCGATATGAATAAAGCGCAACATGCTCGACTACTGAGATTCATACAGAAAACTGCCCCGATGTGGCCCGAGGGGCGGGGGGAGGGAAGCACGCAATACCCCATCAAGATCACTCAGTTCCACACTAAGCCTCAAGAGGGGGGAGGGTGGGTGGGTGATGGATGCGGGAGCAGGTTTCCTACTCTTTGGAGATCGTCTCTGCTTCCTAGGCTTAGTCCTTGAGGCCTTTGAGGCCTTTTACAGAGCGCCCCCCCCCCACCTACTCGTATCTACGTCCACAGCCAGACCGCAAACCTCGCGGATGACCCTTCACGATTCTAAGGATTGTACTCGTCTCACGTTCAATGTTTCATTGTTCATTCAACAATTTATGATGAACTTATGATGCGGTGCATGATCGTACCTGTGCGTATGCAAATATGTCAACGTGGGATACTGAGGTTGATAAGACGAGAATAAATACAAAAACCCGTTGCAGCACTAACAGCACTATTGAAAGGCTTTGCGCAAAAGCAAAACTATCTGAAAGAGAATACCTGCACGAATCACAGAAACAAAAACTGAAAGAATTATACTGTAGGTAAGTCTAAGAACAAAGAACTAGCCGCAAGAAATTACTGCAAAGGTTCAGCCAATGACTCAATAACAGCTGAGAGTGGAAACGCAAGAAGCACGTGGTATGGGAGATCGTGGCTTGAAGAGAATGTTCGCCAAAATAATGTACAAAACACACTAAGCGCGAACGATTTCAAAGGCCTGAAACAGGAGAGAGCGATCGTCGAGGAAATACTCAACGCACGACACACCCTGGACATAAGAACGTTTAATTCAAAATTCTAATGACGAATTGTTCCCTGTACGTAGTGACAATCCAAAGATAGCTTTGAGTGAATGAACGTGACCATTACAACCCCCACAGACCGTTGAGGGGGGGGGGACATCCAATTCCTGCTTGTCTGCGCCCCTTTCAATAAATTGAGCACTCCCCTACCGAATGACCCTCCTCCTCATGTACACTACCATAGCACCCGACCGGGCGCGCACGAACGCAAACTTGGCACCGCCCTTTGGAGTTCCGCAACTTGCGCAACGCTGAAGTACGCATACCTGCATGGGTCTACAGGCGCTCCACAATGTAGTGACGGACGTCGGTCACGTTGCCGTCCGGATGCGCCATGGTGGCCTTCCTTCGTCCGAGTTGTCGCATGGAGCTGGGTTCAGGCACAAGCTTATTTGTGCAGAACCGCGCATGCAATTATAATCTTTGACGCTCGTTGAGGCCCCACTCTCAGTTCTGACGAGAGAATGGGGAAACGCGATTTCAGACGACCGATGGTCATCTCCACAATCGATCGCATACGGCAATGATTGTGGTTATATCGCTTTTTCCTCACGTCCCCTCGGACGGCAGTGGGCCGGAATGGCGTGATTATTCCATCACCGTTGGCGTAACCGTTATCACCAAGGAGGCGATAACCTGCGACGGCTGCTCCACTGTTGAAGACCGCCGCAGGGGAGGAATTACGCCAAATATGGAATCGTGCACTGATCCGGGGGACCCGGTGTTGACGTACAGGACACGGCCAACAGCGTCTGCGATGAAGCAGACGTTGAGGCAAGATGTTCCTTTCCTGCTTACGTACTGGTAACCGTCAACAGCCGGAGTCCTTATCCGGACCAGTGTGCCATCCACGGCTCCGATCACATCTATAAAGTGATAGTATTATATTAAGTCGCTCATGATGTAACACTTGCACTACTTTCACTACTCACTGGACATCCTCCCGGTCCTTGCAAACTCATTGGATCGGGCCTGCACCACTGCTCGTCCTCGGGCTTGAACTTTATGAACTGTTGCACGATGTCGGGATGCGCCAAGGCATCCACAACACGAGCAATGATATTGGACACCGTCTTTTGGCAGCATCCGGCGGTGTCGGCCACTACAATCTGGAATGATTAGTGCATAGGTAGCGGATACTATGCACACCTGGAACAAGCTGTCATAATACTCGCCACAACACCGATTCAACTAACTCGCCTATACCTACCTGCATCCGCCTACTAATAGCCCAAGGCTGTCGGTCTTCGTCCCCAGAAGGGGGCTCAGCAGCTCCGTTATCCAATCGAGCTGGTCGTCCGTAAACCGAAACCTCTGACGAATCAGAGATTGATTTATCGACAAGTTAATTCTCGGATCGTGACGATAATAACGAGCGTTCCTCGTGCGTGAACGGACTTCCGCCAAAAAAATGCAGGGGCATTTCTAAATCGTCGCACATTTAATGGACTCAATCAAAAATAGAAACGTCGCTACAGCAAATAAGCACACTTCTTCGGCAACACTTCAATTAGCGGATGATGGAATGCAAAAAATGATATAGTAGCAAACTTTAAAAAAGAATCATTGTCAATGGGTCCACGTCCCATGATTTTTATGTAGAACCATCCGAATATTTCTGTGCTTTCACGTGCAGTACACTTTAGCTCACGACTATTTTGTCTTCCTACAAGCTCTCATACGGTGGAACCAGCATTTGCGCTGGTGTGCGTAACTTGCATGCACGGTCACGCACTGGCAATAGCTCAGTGGCAACGCTCCACGCTGCCACTGACGAGTCACAGGATCGATACCGCGTGAAACCCTGTCGAAACCCATCAGCACCGGATACTTTCTTTTCTCAACACAGCTTTCGATGATGCTGCTAAATGTTCCGTGGTGCACTGTGCGTGATTCAGTCTTATGTATCATCCACCGGTGAGTTCAGGTTTGCAGAGAGTGTTCTTCCGTGCTGTGGTTGAGAGCTCCATGGCGCACTGCCATGCCTCTACGCCGCCGCTGGCAAGGTAGGCGGATCGATACCGCACGGCGTCCGATTTTTGCAAACAGCGTGACCGTCCCACTGTTATAGGCAACCCTTCATGTGCCGGGTGCAAGTCCATGGTGCAGTGGCAACGATAGCAATCCACACACGCACGGCGCTGGTACGGGTTCGTGGAGGGAGGAAGTTTTGCTTGCGATGTCGCGAAGCTGCGTGTTTCAGAGCTAGTTAACTTCCAACTTCAACAACGTTCTTTGCCGGTTACGGGCATAGGATGGCTTTCCTTAACAGCTAGTTTGGGGTAGATTACTACCGTCCCAGAAGTTACTCCCAGGTTGCAGTGCTGGAATCGGCGCTGGAATCCTTGGATCAACGCGTCTGGGCCACTGGCGCTTCCGACTGGAGTTCAAGTGGAGAACTCACTTTTAATTACCACCAACAAAGTAGTCGGGTCAAACACGAGACAGACGACGAAGTCCAAGTCGGGTCAAACACGAGACAGAGACGAAGTCCAAATGTTCATGCAAAATCTGAAGGCCTCTGACGGCGGTCGTCACCAATGTCACGAAACCTCCTTTT